CACCGATTACTCTAACGTACCGGCTATCCTCATATTGATATTGTACATGCAATCACGTAAGATAGGATGAGCACGGCCAAGAAATTTTTAGAACAAAGAGAATTTGCAACAGAAAATGATATTAGATACATGCGCAATATAATTCGGCGCTTAGCGTCACTGATAGAATTTATTAACCAATAAAATTATCTATTGAAACGCTATACCTTAGTTATATCCCACCTCAGATATTAAAAAGCTTGGGTCCCAACATGGGATATAACTGAGGTAGGACTGTATGTACCTACGTTACAAATCATGTGGTGATAGTGATTATAAACGATTGTGACTATAAAAAGGTATATTAACAAGTCCGTTTCACAAAATAGCGTTCTTAAATGGAGGTGTGACTGTATGGGGTGTGACTGTAAAGAGGTCCGACTGTAATTACTAAAATTGCATTTCATCGTTCAACTTTATCCTTACCACAAGTTTTCAATAAAACTTCCAGTCAATTGCTTTAATCCTATTTCGCGAAATACATTATTTTGCTACGTTGGATGTGTGCTTCTGTTGCCAATGCCTTATTACTGTGCGGCAGGTAAAAGCTGGGTTTGCAGAATGTTAACATAAAATTATTTCGGTAAGGCGAGCCAGTATTAGTATGTCTAATCAACTTAATAAATCAATTATTCTATTCTTTTGTAACAAACGCCGCATTATACATTCCCCTCTTGCTATCATAAGGTGCTGTTGAGTCAACAATCGCGGGAAAGCAATCAATCGCTGACCTTGGGATTTAGCTATTAGCTGTGGCTTCTCCTAACTCTAGTTAAATGCAACAACAGCTAGTGACTTGTAAACTAGCTTTACTAATCCTGGATGGTTATTCGCTCTCGAGTTAATCGATTATTCCCTTCCTGTGGGATTATTCCGGAGCCTATAAGGTTGTATATCTAAAACACGTTTCCACTTAAGGCGGATAGCAATCGTAATGCCACGAGAATATTCATGGGAAAGAGCCGGATATTCCTACGTCCACTGGGTTCACGGTATTACATTAAAACCGTAATCACAAATATGTCCGTTATCTATCAACCTCTATAGCAAATAGCACAAATAATAGCTCGTTTAAAAGCTAGAAATGTAGATTCTATTATTGAGAAGTCAATTTTGAAATATGCTCTCCTTTAGTTTTTAAACAGGCCATTCTCGTTTTATTGAGTTTAAAAATTGAATTATAATACAACATTTCCAATAATTGATAACGGATATTAATATTTTATTATTACAAGAGATAAAACCACCCCAGGAAAGCCGTTCCGCTTTGGTTTTATCCTCAGCAGCCAAACTTACTTCTTTCCGCCTGGGAGAAAGGTCGTTTATATAATGAATTTTATATCACTATTCGTATTCATCACTCTAGTACTCAATTTCCCTCCCAGACATCTACTCGCGAATTATCACTATTTGTGATCAAGTGATCAAGTTGGTGTTCGAAATCTAAGTTATACAAAAGCGCCGCAGAATACCAACTCGTCACCCGATCGAAAATACATGGGAGTGAATTTTTGACCAATTAAACAATTCCGTAGTAAATAGCAAAATCGGCTATTTACAATAGTCTGTTCTGGTCAGATTACCCACTCCTCAACCATAATTGATTCTGTTCAGCTAAATTTTTTCGCGTTTTGACGTTTCCATACTTTATTTATGCCATGAATTTTAGAAAAATTAATTAGATAATTTTAGTCTTTCAATGTAGCACATCGAATAAACAGAATTACTTCAATTTTTTGGTGCACATTTAATTCCAAGCATTACACACTGTACATTAAACACGATTCTCGATATAATGATCCCCCAAAATTGTGCTCGATATAATGATGATAACAATTAAACTGGCGATATAAATTATCACAATCCAGGATATTGATGATTAAATAAATGTTTACATTCAATTACGAGGCGATAAGGCACTTTGTTGTTAATGAAGAAATTATTGCTTGATAAAATGAACATTTGATCAACTGACTCAAAATTGCTGATGTGGCTACATAGTAATAGTCATAATGGTGCTCATGCATAACTTGTGGACTTGTTAATATTAAATCTATCCTTCCAGAGTTTAGATAAATATGAAGTCAATAACATGATTGGTAGAATTATGTCTACTGTATATAAAAATATGTAACTAAAATCTACCATGGAACCAAAGAATTACAGTACTATTACAAGTACAGAACAGGGCGAAAAAATTGCACCTTACACTCTGCATACAATGAAAACAATAGCAGTCATTGTGTAAAGTTCTTCATTGATAAAAAAATGGCGACAAGGGTTGAACGAGGCAAAGGAGCACTTAAGGAAGACAAAGGCTACGTTGGTGGAGTTTGAGGAAGAACAAACTGACTGGTGGGAAATTGCTAAAGACATTGAGACTGAAGTTGCTAAATGGAGAAGGGACTGCAGCACAGCAGCAAATGTGGAAGGAGAAGAAGAAACTCAAGAGGAAAGAGAAACTGGAGGAGGGTGAGTGTTGAAGGCAGGTAGAAGAGCACTTACTATTACCACAGACAGGTAACAACTTTGTTCTTTTTGATAAAAATTCAATATCATTAGTGGCCAATCACTTGTCTCATTTATTCCATATAACTAATACAATGTTTTACCATATTGATACACAACAGCATTTGTGTCAGAGCAGGTTTTTGAAAAAGCAAAGCACAGATCTTTTATATTAAATTCAATGTTCACAATTGGTAACAACCTTAAGTGGGACAGAAAATCAGCAGGCTGATGTATATTGTCAGGATCGAGGCCTAAATTATTAACGAGATATCCGACTTTATAATAGATAATTCAATTTTTATAAAAGTTTCTAAGGTAGGCTGTTTTAGAGAAGCGATTTGCTTTCTTTGAATTTGACACTGAAGTCTTTCATTCCCAAGATTACCGATGCATTTGTTTTTTCTACGTTCATAATTGCAGTTTGGTTGTAAATTGGAATGCGTTTTTGAAAGCAATTGACTATGTCAATCTTTTTATTGTCTTTCTGAACGATTAAGACAATTGTATAATGTATTACAAATGATATATTACGATGACATAAGATAATAAAATATTGTTTAGATGCTAAAGACGCACTTATTGGGTAATTATTTTGTTACGTTACTAAAATAGTAAAGATTATCCGTAAAATCACGTGGTCCGACTTATCGAGAGTCATTTGTTATAATCTATTGTCGTCCGACTTATTAACTATTCAAAAAAGGGGCCGAAAATTTTTGTCCGAGTTAAGCCAATCCGACTTATCGAGCGTCCGACTTATCGAGTTTGCCTATGTAGTGACGCAAATTATATACAACATATATAAGTTTTATCAATTATATGGTAAGAAGTTTATTTGTTTCAATGATTTTATGTAGCCTCCAGCACGATTTCCCTTATTGCCGTTTTCAAAATGCTGTAACCCCTAAAATTTGGCACGCAACACAGATTATTGTGATTACAGTGATTATAGTCACGTGATGTCGATCAGTTCGCGTTTCTGATATCTAGGGCGGGGGATTTGACTGCTACATAATAATAACGAATTTTTTTTTCTCCAATATTTAAATTTGATCGTTATTACGAATTTTAATAGTAAACCTCGTTATTCCGTTACCGAAGTTCGGTTGCAGGATTTTTGTATATTGCGCTAGTCGCTTTATAACGAAGTTAATCACGTGATAGAAGGTTTAAACATGGTGATTGGTTGTAGCAATTAAAAAATTTCATCAGCGCTGTACAGTAATTGGTCATACTATTAATACAATTTCACGTGAATATGAATATTGTTTACGAAAGTCTTAATATACCGAATATTACTTGACTTTAGGCTAGACTTCATTACAAAGAGAGTGTTCGTTTTACCGAATAACGAATCATAGATGACCACCCCGTGCCTTCGGACTGTATTAATATTGGCAGTTAATGAGTTTATGTATAAGATTATTATGTCGCATGTTTAGTACAACTTATTTCGGTATTAATAAAGTGATTTATTAAAATAGCCTTTTGCCATTTCTGGCGTAATTTGTGTACATGCAAGTAATAGTGATCTCTCAAGCTCTTACAAATTCATTGTTTCGTCGAAGCCAAGCTTTTTGATAGTTGAAAATGCTAATTCGATTGGGTTAAATGATTTGTGTAAAGCCACAAAATCTACTCCCCTTCTATGGGTATTGTGGTTATCATGTCTTAATGACTTTTTTGTCTTGTGATGGTATAGAAAGATGAATAGCAATGTTTTTGTAAAGCACACATAATTATTTGTGTTCGAAAATTCTCGTTTTGTGAGAATTACTCTAGTCAACCTCACTGGGATGGTGATTGACTTTCAGGCTGTTCGCTTCTGCCAAACATAATCTCAAGCATATCAAGATCATAATCTTTCATAATGACTTGTCCATCATTTACCCCACTTGGTCGTCTAATGTCGTCGCAGTTGACGTTGATGGGATAGCAATCAAAGTCGATTAGCATAAACTTGCCCTCACCATTCTTTTGCACAAAGAGGTTTGTATCATGCAAATCGTCATGGACGAAGTTCTGTTCATGAAAAGTTCCTCAACTCGGCGGCGGAGTACCTCAACAGATGGAAAGCTGATTTTGTCTTTAGTCCGATGTGAATATGGTAAATAGGCTTGATCCATCGCGTCCATTACTACCATGTACCACTTGTGTGGAAGTTGTTCGAAGCAACGCAAACGCGGTGCCACACCCAATGAAGCTGCTGCTGAATAACTCCGAGTATACTTAATGCATATAACATCGCCAGCAGTCCCCGAGCTGTGTTGTTCACGGTAGCATTGTCTACCACATACTCATGCTTATACGGAAAGTTCGTATTCATAAACCTGACAAAAGTCTCCTTCCATAATGGTTTATGTCGCCCGTGCTCATAGTAACCGCGCAGTTCGTTTATGGTCCACATAAATGCGCTGAAAACTCGTGCCGTCCAAGTCTGCATAGAGATTTGAACAACACACTGCAAACGTTCCCCGAGTTAAAGACAAATATTGTTCTGGATCAAAGAAACTACGTACAAACCTTACAATTATTATGAAGAAGGAAATATGGAGGAAAACCCGCATTTGAAAAATGTTGAAATTGCAACTGAGTATAAAATTGGAGAGTCAACGGTTAGTGAAATTCTCAAGTCGAAAGATAGGTAGTTAGCAGTTGAATCAATTCAAGTGAATGCAAAGCGAGAACGGAAAAGTCAATTTCTTATCATAGAAGAAAGTGTTGCGATGTGGTGCGAGCAAGCGATTTTAGATGGTATTACTCTCACTGGGTCTATTCTACAGAAAAAATTAGCTGAACTGTTAGGAATTGATTCGAAAAAGTCTTAATTTGCCAGGTGGAGCATCAAGTTCTATCTCAAAGCCATTAGATGCCTTGCCACCCCCAACAATTCTAGATGCAATTAATTTCACTACAGCAGCATGGAATCGAGTGACTGTTGACTGTAAGTGTTATTAAGTCATCGTGGAGGTGCTCACAAATCTTGCCTACAACGTTTAAGCAGAGGACATAGATACTGATTAGAATCAAATATCAGAGATTTGATTGAACAACTTCCCTCTGAACTGAAGTTCGTGAGTTTGTTGATTTTGAGGAAGTAGCAATAGGGAATATTGATTATAATAATGACGAGCAAGAGGAGGCGTTTTTAAAGTCATAGTAGCAGCAGTTAGAGAAAAAGTCGAAGAGGAAGGAGAGGAAGAAAAGATTAAGGAAAAAGAAAAAGTTCCTTTGTTCAAGCTGTAACGGCTCTTGATAACCTTGTCTTATTTTGTCAGCAGCAAGATTTAAGTGTCGACATTCAAGTATATAATCAGCTAAAGCAACTGCGTAAAAAAAGTATTGCAGCAAAACAGACATGTTTAGAGGATTTTATTAACTTTGAAATTCAATAGAGGAACAGAATGGGTAGGAGTAAACGAATAAATCCCACTTTAACGAATATAATGAAAGTTCGTTATATAGGTAGAAGTCCGCCATTAATATTAATATTATTAATACTAGTAGTGCGAGCAGTGCACTGACGGAACGGAAAAGAATAGTGGAAAACATAGGCTATCGATAGAATAATAGAAGTAACTGCTAAAAATAGATCAATTAGATCGATCGAAATATATATAAGTAGCGTAGATTTCAGTTAGATATAAAAGAAAGGAAGTGCATGTTTAGCATGACTAATTCCTCTCGATTCCTTTATTGTAAATAAATGAGTAGTTCTTTATACTCTGAAATACATTGTTAATGATTCATTCCCTGGTAATTATCGGTATAGCTGAGAAACCGTTAATCCCTATATCGATGAAGAATAATCGCCTCTTGTCCCGCGATTATTCGAGTGGCAATTACGATAATTAATTGTTATGTAGATGCGCATTATTATGATTTATACTCATTGTACCCCAAACGGGAGATTATCGGAATAATCCCTCGATAATAACCGACGATACACTCGAGAGCGATTACTTATCTAGGATTAACGTCATTCTACGGTGAAATAGTCCGTAAGTGAAAAGCCTTGACATTGACAAGGTCACTAACTGTACCCTAGACATTTAACTTGAATAGGAGGAGCCACACTCCGTCGAGACTAGTTAAATCCCAAGTGTCGATTACTTTCTGCTCTCACGCAGTAGTCGGCACGACACTGAACAATCAAATTTACTTCATCATAAAATGTTTGTCTACTAATTTTCTTTGTTGTTTTGCTAATTCCGTATTTTATTTGTAATAATTTCTCCTAACTTAGCTTTAACAAGATGTTCTCAGTAAATCTTTGTTTCCTCTTCCTTGCGAGCATTCTCCTGTAAGCCATTCCGAAATCGTTGACAAGTATCGCATACAGTGTGTTTCAAAAAAAAAAGAAAAAAAGTGTTTGCAAATAAACTTTTTTTTTTTTAATTGTTTATAATTTGTTTCAGACAATAAGGCAGTAAAATTTAACTGAAAGTAAACGTACCAAATTGTTGCCTTTATAAGCCGGTTTCTTTCAACACAACATTAAAGTTTTCTCAAAGAGTTATATGACAAACCATTATTCCTTCAACAAAGCATGGTGTGTGGTCTTATCGTTTGGGATTTAAAAAGTTGGGACCTGATAAAAATAGAAGGCAAGTTGTATAAATTAGTATATATGCAAATACTTAAAAACAGTTATTGTCTTTCATAATACTAAATATTATGGAAAAGATTGCTTGTTTCAACAAAACAATGTGCTAGTTTATACAGGCCAAAGATCTATGCGTGGATTTGGCAAAGAAGATTAAAACTTTGCCAGAATTGCCAAGCCAATCACCTGATTTGAATCTGATCAAACATTTATGGCCAGAATTTTGCTTTGAAGGCGTTCAAAAAATTCATAAAAAAATAATAATAATAGAAATTACTTTACTTATGACTGGAGAAATGGGCCAAAATTCTAGAATTTGCATATTAATATATGAATTTAGTTAAAGGCATGGCAAATAGAATTGAAGCATGTATCATCAATAACGATGTCAACCAAATATTAAGTTTGTAATAGTTTGCATCACAGATATCAAAAATTTTTAGAATAATTATTATGTAGCTTATTCTACAAACTAAAAGAAAAGAGGTCTGTCACTTATTTCAGAGTAGTGTATGTGCATCTCCATTCCAAAGTAGAATCATGTTTACTTTCTAAAAACACCTCGCAATAAATCCAATTGATATATAAATATAAGCTAAGAATATCAAAAGATTCATTAACTGGTCTCCATTGAGTTAACACCTACTCAATGCACAAGTTCCAACAACATGTCTTCAATTATATTTACTCGCGTTTTCAGAATACAGCAGAGCATCTCGAAAAAATTGTTGGCATTGAAGAGAATGTCACCTTCAGCAAATAAATATAAATTTAAAATAATTTATTTAACTGTTCTCACTTGCAACCAATTTGTTCCGCATTCTAAGCGCTATTCTGTTTAACGTATGAAAATCGCACATTGACCAATCATTATGTAATTTTGTTTTGCCCGAGATATAACAGTAATCGTGGTTCCCAAAATAAATCCTTGGTTACATTGCTATATCTTAAGTTAGATTATAAAGTGTCAGATGGTAGCTTAGATAATTGAGCTTTGCGCTAAGAAAGAGGAAAAAGATATCATTACGCGTATCCAAATACGTCCATCCGTAAATTTACTGGAATGGTCGCATCTTTGAGTCTGACAAAGCCAAATCGACAGCTGCAATTGGCATCAATATCACGTTGGTTTGCACTTTTAAAATTATGTGTGGATTGATTTTTAAATATTCGAGTCGCATGACCTATTTTGTAGGATAAGAGTCGGCTCCAGATAAATTCGTAAATTTACTATCTAACATATTGGAATTTTCCATGTATAATTCGCGCCATTATGTAAAACCCGGATTTGCAATATGTAATTGTGGCAAAGAAGATGCGACAATAGCTACAATATATTTATTTTCAAATCGATTATCATACCGCTAAAATTAAGATAGTCTATCCTAAGAACGTCTGCGACAATAAATTAGGTTTTTTAGGCTTGCCATGACTGTATACAATATCAAGACATCACAAATTTGCGCATAAGTTTACAATGCTACTTGTGGACTTATCGGTAAAGCATGACATGACTACAATTTTAATTCAGTAAATAATGTCTGGCGCAAAAAAGTTGATACATGAAATTCGTCACCTGAAATTCGTCACATGTACAAAATTTGCTAATCGAATCATGTGAGCATACAAAACAAATAAAATGTAAGAAAAATGTCGAACTTCGAATATTCGTAACAAACTTGATCATCCCATGGAAGACTAGATAGAGAGCGAAGTTCTTTAACCAGTAACGAAAAACGAATGATTATTCGCGTTCACCAATATTTTTTAAATACTCGACAGTACCAGACGCAACGTCCAGACTTACCACTACGCAAGGAGGTTGCTTCGGTCCTTGGAATTGGTGAGGCAACCCTTGCGCGAGTGGTTGCTGAACATAATAGCGGTAAAAATGAAAAATTTTCAGAGCGTTTAGAGCGAAGAATGCAAGGGCGTCCAAGGAAAATTTAAACGATGATATATTATTGGTCGAAAGTGACAGTGAAGATCTCGAAGTTGAAGAGATTGATGACTAGTAAAACTTTTTTGTCTGTGTACAATGTTTTAATAAATTTCTACTGATACATTCCTCAAAACCCAATTTGTAAGTCAATTTATTTAAGTATGTGAATGAATTTCAAAAAAAAAATTTTCTACTATAAGCATATTGGTGTATCAACTTTTTTGCGCCGGACCATATTCATGGTTTTCGAAGATGTTTGGTAACACTTATTCTATAAATAGTAAATTATTTAATTTAAAGAGGCAAATCTTTAACTAATCGAGGTATTTAACTTAAGGAGGTTGATTTGTAGTTGACATTATAAACGAACGTCGATCAGCATGCGTCTTTGAACAAAAGGATTCTATTTGAAGTTAAAACACTCTATTGCTGTATGACTCTATCTGGCTTTTACGAGAGTGAATGCGTACAATAAGATTCACAAACTTTGAAATAAAAAGTTAACCGTACTTTGCTTAAACCTGCAGGCAAAAAAATTGTTGAAACAATTGAATAGCTTATTGAGTTTGTTTGGAATGGCTTTCTTTGATCCGTCGTAAACCAATAAAATGCGGTAATTGTTGTTTGTAAATAACAAAATTAGCAACGGAATGCTATGACAAACTACGTGCACTTTTTGGATGGCAATGACTGTTATGTGATTGAATACAAATATTGTCCTTTCTCTTAATTATTCAGTTTATCAATTGCATGGGAGACTGCTCCGTCAGAGCTGAATAAATGTCTCAACATTCTGACGAGCCTTTGTTTAGTAAAATAACTTTTTTGTATTAGACATTGTCTATGATAATCATTGTTGCGGTTGTTCTTTTTCGAATATTAAACTGATTAGCATACTCGCATACCATGTGACTTCTTCAACAAAAGCTGCTATGTATGAAAACAATAAGCCTTGTCGCATGTAAACGCCGTTTGTAAATCCCGCCAAAACATACAGCATGCATATCAAATGATTGCAACTGATCTGACAACAAAATTTAAGTGTGCAGATCACTACTATTCCCATCACTTGTACTTATTATTATGTCTAATTCGGATGGGCAGGCGGCTATTACTATCTTTTAACCTCTATAATATAATATTAATGATAAACGTGGGGCGAGTTACTCAAAAGACCTTGTTCCTTCTTATCATTGTTTTGTTCCTTGGCATACTTCTTTTGTTGTTTGACGTGTCTGACTGGACAACAGATGACTGGACAACAGATGGACATCCGACTTTGGAAGAAAGCAAGTCAAAATGTCGAGGGGAAGGTCGTGCGGTGATCTGCGAGTACACCAATTTTTGTGTTGATAGCAAACGTGGTATAGTACTGAAGATTCAGAATTGAATACGTTACATATATGTGCGCCGTCATTGCTCGCCGAAAAAATAACAAGAGCACTTTACATCTTACCTGCCTAACAGGAGCATACATCGTAAATCGAAATGACATATCGAAGCCTGCAAACGTTATGAATGCAGATGAATCGGCAGATGGCCTTTGGAAACCAGAAGTAAAATCTAGCTATCCATGGAAAGTACAATATATAAACGAAACACTATTTGTATACGGCCTGTATTCACCCTTTCATTTCTCGCACTGGATGTTCAATGGGTTGTTACCGTTATACAGGTAATGAGACATGGGCAGAGCTGATTGAGAAAATAACCGATACGACAGAGAACATTTGGGTTTTTAATCTAAAGAAAGGATTCTGTCTTGAAACGATCATTTGTAGCGTAATGCGATCGTATAATGCCACACGAGACGCATGGCTTTTGCGTGTTCACATGGTCAATCACCAGCGGCATAGAACGTTCCCCGAAGATATCTCGTTTCTTACCGACGGAAAAGATATAGTGTTCAATAGAGCTGATATATTGACAGACATGCAAGTTGTGCCTTCAACAACTTCTATTTGCTTCGCCAAGGCTGTCGTTGGTAAGTTAATTCTAGTCTTGGGAACAATATAAAGCACTACTCATACAAGAATAATTGCGTATTTTGCTTAGGTGCTGGAAATCGATGCAGCTTAAACTATTGTGAGAACAATATCCCAACAGAACATTACCAACAATTACGGAAGGATATTTTCTCTTATTACATCCACAATGGTCAATGGGAACGATACATACAACAGAATCACAAAGATGAACGTGAGCTTGCTTGTCTCGATACCACGAAAATATATACTCCCACCTTTAGCAACGATACGACAGTCATCATTGCTATACTGCAACGATACCACAGTCGACACATATTGAATGCTGACAAATTGATTGATGCGTTAGTGAAGCAAAACTATATAGTCAAGTTTTTGAATTTCGATGTTGGGTGTTCTCTCCCGGCGACCGCAAAGCTTTTGGAAGACGTAGACATTCTCATCACGCCTCATGGCAATGGACTTGGGGATGGCATTTTTATGGCCCCAAAAACAACAGTAATAAGCATCGACTCTCGGTTCTATTCCGAACCATGGTTTGCCCATATTCATACAGCAGCCGGACGGCGATTCTACAATTTCCAGTGTGACTCGAGTGACTGTCAAGTAGCAGACTTTGAGACGGCTAAAAATCAGTTACAAGTGGATGGCGTCGAGATGTCATATTACGAGTTGATGGAATATCTTGGTCCAGAGTATCCATATCGACTCATCGACAAGTACTATCTCGGGAAAGGCAAATGGGGTTATTCCGGATACGCAAAGGAGGCAATGAGACGTGTAGATGTGGAAAAGCTGGTGAAATTTGTGAAAGAAATTGTTGACGAATGGCCGATGGTGCAGAAAAAGTCGTTTGTTGAACTCTGTGAGATGGGCAAATGCTGCGGACCAGACTGTGGTGTTGCTTTGAAGAGAAATGTATTCGGAAAAGGAAATGCTTGGGGTGGAGTAGAACGCCCAATAGACGCTGAAGCAGCTAATTGGAAAGCTGGGTAATCAATTTTTTATCAAAGAAAATGTAAAAAGAATTCATCAGAGTCACAAACAGCACAAGCCCGGAATAGATTTTACACGGATCTTGCATTCGCTACAAAACCAATAATGTACTCCAACAAAAAAAAGAAGAATTCGCCTGTGAATGTATTTATTGTATCGTTATTTTAGTAATAAAATCTTCCCTTGTCACTATACGCTTGCAGATGCTTAACTAAACATATGCGAGCTAGTATGCATCATAAATAAGTCAATTAAAGCAGATTATTTCTGGGCAAAGCTTTTGTCATCACTATTACGCCATATGTAATTATACTTCCGCGCCGAATTTAGACGGGTACTCGTGACTAATCGTAACTGAGAAGGTTGCAAATTGAGAATAAAAAAATTGGCTTTTTATAAAAACGTCGAAATGAGCGGTGGATTTGATAAATTATTTACCCGATACTGCGTACCCTTCCCTCGATGACTCGCATGGCCAATAAAGCAGGGTCATGACTTTGCGAGGTCCGGCAATCGAACTGAAAAGATCGCCGATGGTTAACTTTTGGGGCATCCGTAATACTGTCCTTTCTCTGGCGACGGGAGATCTGTTGAGTGGACTCTGAAGTTCAGTACTCCATCGATGGTTAAAGAAAGACTTCTTTGGAGTTTGAAGAAGGTTTAAACATCAGCACCAGCATCTTATAATTTCTAACCCTTTCATATGTTAAACTCTCAGCGGTCTTGTGGTTACATTTGCAACTTCTAATATTCCCTCTGTTGTCTACTTTATTTGATAATGATGCCTTTCAGAGAAAATCGTCATCTAAACACTTAGAAATAGAATTCTTTGAATCCATTGAATTAAAAAAGACGTTTACCCACTCTTGAGTCAAAGCCGCTCCAGTTTCTGGATTATCATTCAAGGACAACGGGCACGCAGTCATCATTGACGTGCTAGGCAGAATAGAAGGCAGGCCGATCGATACTAATGACAATGAGATTTGCGACAAGAGGTACATTCCGTATTCAACATATATATATATATATATATTCAGCTAAAGTTGTCTTCGGCAATAAATAGGACATTTAGACCAATTGAAACTAAGTAATGATCAGCCAATCTTGTCAATAAATGGAATTAATGTAATATATCAAACAAAAATAGGATAATCCAGCGTTCTGATGTTTAATAAAGAAATAACGACGGACGAAGACTTTATTACGGCCGCAAACGCTTAAGTCTAATTTATTATTGATTGCTGTGGACTAACGGAATTATGTGACTTATGGCATACTGTACAACAATTGTTCGAGAATTTATTCATAACAATTCTTTATTTCTTATTGTATATACATAGGTATGATACAATAACACTACTCCCAACGTGAACTGCCGCATGGCGTAAATAGTATTCCCATACGCAGGTGTTGGCGAATATCATACCCGAATCCATTCATTTGAGGTTTTTCGTTTTCGTTTTCAAAAAAAGGTTTATTTGATAAATTTACAATCTACAATAATGTCCAATAGTAATATTAATATAAATGGTTTGGACTTAGATTTCGGTAGAGCTGCGAAATAACCATCATCCTGAACTACTCTAATCTCAGTACTGCAGAAATCACTTAATCAAATCGCTGTTCCCTATTTAATAGTGGTTGACCCGTTCTTGAAAGATTTCAAGCTATGCCAGCAGTTTGCTCTTCGGCTCTTCTGCTCCCAGCTCTAGACTACACCCTGAGTCCTCTACTCTATTAAACTAATATAAGTTCAAGTAGTTATAAGATTTAATAGAATACAACGTGGCTCGATCGATCTTCGTTCAATTACTTAACAACCACTCAGCAAATACTCAGTGAGACTCTCACCTCAATCTATGAGCCCAAAATCCTTTGCGCTTGAAAGTGATCGGTTATGTGGTCGATAAACCGTGTCGTTGTACCCGACAGTTTACCATTATGCCGAGGACAAGTAGAATCTTCATTATTAATGTTTCTATTAACAATAATAAGTTGGGGGAAAAATGAGTAAATTGTATCATCAGAATCACGGACCAATGAAGGTCGTGCATGTCAAGCGGCAACCACCCGTCCGGATGTCACGCTTGATCGATGACTTCACATCAACGTCCCATGTACCTATTCACCACAGCCGCC